CAAGCAGAGGGTGTGCCGTGGGTGTGGGGTACGGTGTCCCACCACATCTCTCCCTCTGCTCTCCTCTGTGTAGCTCGATGAGTCACTTGTTCAGCTGCTGCTGCTCATTAAATACAAATCTCCATCGGCAGGCGCCCACACAGTCATGGATCTTGGAGCAAGATCCTCAAAACCCCCGAGTTATCTGAGGTTTCCTTGCTGCATGTGCACTGCCTTTGTGTCCTGATTCGCTGTTTCTCCAGGAATGTCGGTATTTGCACGGAGAGTTTCAAGGACCTGCCTGTGGACAGAACGGCCCCTACGCACCTAATGTCCTCTTCTGGTGCTGCATCCTCTTCTTCTCCACCTTTGTCCTGGCGAGTTTACTGAAGAAGTTTAAAACCAGCCGTTACTTCCCAACCAGAGTAAGTAGAAGATGGTGGCCAGCAGCAGTCTGCACTTAAATTTCCGAAAATTACTTTCTCGGAGCACTAAGCAGGATTTGCCACCACTTGGTCAAGCTGGAAGACATTCACCTCCTAGGCCAAGCTCTCCCATCTGCTTGGATGTCCCTCACTCATCTCCATGAGTGCAAAATGATTGTAGCGTTTCCCACCTGCCTCGCGACCTGCCCCAGAGTGATTTTTTGCTCAGGCAGTGGGAAATCAGGTCTTCCAAAGTTTGTTGGTTTTTTTCCACCTTCGGTACATGATGTACTCAAGGGGAGAGTCGATTCACATGAGGAGCTGCCAGAGAAGAAGACACTCTTGTTTCCTTTTGAGGAATAAATGATGCCTCAGTGCCGTATGCCCACTTTAGCTGTAATGTGGCTGTGGTGGCAGACAGCTGCTTGCTTATTTTTTTCAAAGTTTTGGCAAGGTTTGAATTACACCAACCCTTTGCCACTTAGTTCACCTTTTTGTATTGTCTGACACCAGATCTCACAGGGAGAAACACAGCAAGAGTATCTAAGTGAGGGGTTTGGGTGTGTGTCCTCAGAGTGATGGGATCTTGTTAACTGGCCTCAATGCTGTTGACGTCCCTCACTTTTCCATCTCATGTGACGGCCCTGTTTGTGATGCCTTGTTGAGCTCTGGTTTCTCCCCCCAGGTACGGTCCACAGTAAGTGACTTTGCTGTTTTCCTCACCATTGTCATCATGGTGCTCATGGACTTCATGGTTGGGATCCCGTCGCCGAAGCTCCATGTTCCCGATGTATTCAAGGTAACGAAATGTTTTGGCCTGGAGCTGGTTTCACCCCATGCTCGTGGGACTTTCTGGGGATGCCACAAGGTGATGCCAGGGCAGGGCAGGGCTGAGTCGGGAGGCCCTCCTTATAATAAAAGGAGCAAAAGTCTCTGGAACTTTTGTATATAACTTTATTCATAGAATCATAGAATCATAGAATGGTATTTGTGACAGGACATAGATTTGTAGATAGCCCGTGATAGTGACTGACTACAAAAACTAACTTTGATTAAAATAATATAAAATTATTATTACTGATCTGTGATTACGCTAAATAGCTGCAAGATGTTAGTAACTAAGTGTGATAACCCAGAGTTCTTACCCAATAGGCGTCCCTATGTGGTGGAGAAGAGAGGTTCAGCCCGTCGACTGATCCCAGACGTCCCAATGGAGGTCTTCTCCCTAACATCCTCTTTGTCTTTTGCCATTTTATACTATTTCATTTCTTTTAGGTGGAGCTCGAGTGACTCTAGTCATACATACCTTTGTTAGGATTGGTAGCTTTTGGGATGGAGGTGTGTTTTGGTATTATAATGAGCAAAGTTCACCCCAAAGGCCAGCCACCTGGCAGCATGTTAAATACTAACATGCCCAAATGGCCTAGGTGAAGGCTTGGCCAGGTTCCCCATTGTTGAGGCAAGGGCCGTGATTTGTCTTCCTTGACAGTTGTGCGGTTCCTTTCCCAGCCATTCTTCTATCCTGGAGAACAGGGACGAGCCGTGGTACCTTCGTACCGCTCTGCTCCCCATTTCAAGGACACGGCACGTTCTGTTTGGCCAGGGCAGGCCTTGGCCATGCCAACCGCATTGTGTTCCTGGGAGTGCCAGCCGCACCTTGCCTCAGAGCTACCTTTAATATTACAGCTTTTGAGCTGAACTTTGTGAAAGAGTATTTTGCCATTTCCCCCCAATTTGGGTCGTTTTCCTATACAACCCCTGCTCCCGGGACTTTCTGGGGATGCCACAAGGTGATGCTGGGGCAGGACAGGGCTGAGTTGGGAGGAGATGCTGGTGGTGTGACCATCTACTCTTCCACCTCCAAGCGTGGCATTTCCTTCTGGAAATGAGAAGCCAGCCCCAAAACTAGACACCTACAGAAGTATCTGTAGATGTTTCCAAAGAGGACACTGGCACTGCTGAAGCCCAGGGTGACAGAAAGCCGGTGCTGGAGGGGAAAAAC